GAGCGTCTCTGTGTGTGTGTGTGTGTGTGTGTGTGTGTGTGTGTGTGTGTGTGTGTGTGTGTGTGTGTGTGTGTGTGTGTGTGTGTGTGTGCGCGCACGCGCGCCAGGTGCTAGCGCAGGTCAGTGTACGTGTAAGAAGGGTTTCGCAGGCCGCAGGTGTGACCGTTGTGCTTTTGGATTCCGAGAGTTTCCCGTTTGTGCCCGCTGCGAGTGTAACCCGGCCGGCAGCGTGAACGGGAACCCGTGCGACAGCTGCCTTTGCAAAGTAGGTCCGGAGGCCAGAAGCGCGCCGGATCCGTCCGGCGTGCCGTTTGCCACCCGCATCGCGCGCTCTCTTTCTCAGGCCAACGTGATGGGCGCTCACTGCGACCTGTGCAAGGCGGGCTTCTACAACCTGCAAGCCGCCAACCCGCTGGGCTGCACCGACTGCTTCTGCTTCGGCGTGTCGGATGTCTGCCAAAGCTCCGCTTGGTTCGCCGCGCAGGTACGCGCGCGTCGCGATCCTTGCCGTCACCGACGCGATGAGGCCGACGTCGGGGATCTTTCGTCGCAGGTGGTTTCCGCGGAGGCTCGGCTGGACGCTTCCCCCTCCCTGCGCGACGACCCCGCCCTCCCGGCAAAGGAACCCGCCGCCTCCGGCAACTTCTCCTCCGGACATCGTCCGACGCGGGAGCTGTCGTGGGAGGCGCCCGACACTTTCCTCGGCAACAAAGTAGGCGCTTGTCCCGCGCCCGCCCCCGTTCGGCGTGACGCGGCGTCTCTTTTCAGCTGACGTCCTACGGGGGTCTCCTGAACTACTCCGTCCTTTACGGCGGCTCGCCGGACGACGGTCAAGGTCCCGTGGCGGCCCGCGCCGACATCATCATTCAGGTAGCGAAAGGACGCCCGAGCCGGCGCAGTCGGGGGCGCGCGGGATGATGCCATCTTGTCCTCCGCAGGGCAACGGGCGCGCGCTCCGCCTCTCGCCGCCTCACGTCCTCTTCCTCTCGCCGTCGGCCGAGCACGCGGCGGCCACGCGGCTGCTCCCGAGCCGATTCGTAGACCGAGAAACGGGCGTCCGAGTGAGCCGCGACGATCTGCTGACCGTCTTTGCCGGGGTGACGTCGTTCGGGGTCAGGGTTCATCTCGACGCCTCGGCCGGCGGAGCTATGCGGTGAGGGCGCGTTCGACCGAAAGACCCCGTCGGGCCGGCGCCCGGCGCTGACGAGCCACCCGCCGCTCTGTGATCGCCTCAGCCTCGTCCGCGCGACCCTGGAGGCTGCCGACCCTCGGTCCGCGTCTGGCGTGCGGGCGCTCGCCGTGGAGACCTGCCAATGTCCGTCGGGGTACGGCGGGACTTCCTGCGAGGTGAGCTCCCGGCTTCCCCTCGGCGCACGCGCGGCGCGCTTCCTCGGAAGGTGCCTCGCGAGCGTCTTTCTGGGCGTCCAGTCGTGTCTTCCAGGTTTTTACAGGGTCGGCGGAGTTTTGTTTGGAGGAAACTGCGTGCGGTGCCAATGCAACGGCCACGCCTCCGACTGCGACGCCAACGGCGCGTGTCTGGTCAGTGGCGTCGCCGTCCGTTCGGACGGGGTCCGAGTCGGAGCCGAGACGTGACGCGTGTCGTCTGTCCCTCAGGGCTGCGGCCATCATACCGCCGGTCCGCACTGCGATCGCTGCCTCCCCGGTTTCTACGGCGACCCCGCGGCGGGCACGGCGGACGATTGTCGGCGCTGCGCGTGTCCTCTGACGGAGGCGTCCAACAGGTGGGTCTCATCGCTTGTTGCCCTGGAGCCGGACCCCCAAGAATGGCAAAACTCTTAAGCGGCTCTCCGGCGTGGCAGTTTCAGTCCCACGTGCGTGCTGGACTCTTTCGGGCTGGTCTCATGTGACCGCTGTCGGGAAGGCTACGCCGGGAGCAGGTGTCACGAGTAAGGAGGAGCCGCCGCCGCCGTCCGCGGACGCCGAGCCGGATCGCCGCGACCGCGTCCGTTCCCCTTGCCAGGTGTTCCGGCGGTTTCTACGGCGACCCGCGGGTCGCGGGCGGCTCTTGCGTTCGCTGCCGATGCAACGGCAACGTGGACGCCGAAGAGGCGGGACATTGCCACAACGTCACCGGGGAGTGCCTGCGTTGTCGCAACAACACGGCCGGAAGGCACTGCGAGATCTGCGCCGCCGGTTTCTACGGAGACGCCGTGCACCGGAAGAATTGCACAGGTGCCGGCCGCACGCTCGCGTCGAGATGGCGGAACGTCGTCGATGGAGGCCCGTCCGGGTTACGGCGGACCTCTTTGACGCGTGGCTGTTTTGCCGCTCCCGCGTGGAAAGCGTATCGGGAGCGACCCGGGACGTTCACCGCGGTCAGATCTGTTCCCTCGCTCAGGGGCGGCACGGCTCAGCGGTCGTTGGGGGTTGCTTCCGGTCCGCCGCCGCCGCCGCCGCCGACCGACGCTCTGCCTTGATTCGCTGGACCCGCGCGATACTTTGGTCAATCCAAATCGAGCTCCCGTTTTCAAATGCAGACGAGGAATTTCTTTCTGAAAAGCGCCGAGCTTTTCGCATGTCCAAACGGTGGCAGTTTTGCACCGTCAAATAGGAGAAGTCAAAGCGCAGAGGCGGCGCGCCGCAACTGCTCAACCTCGGCACGGTTTTCAAAACGCAGTTTCGCGAGCGAGCGAAGACGCGTTTGCCAGCTCGCGTTTGGATCTTTTCCTCGCTCGCACTTACCGGACGCTCCCTTTTCGCAGACTGCGACTGCCACGTCAACGGATCCCTGTCGAGCGTCTGCGATGCCGCCTCGGGCCAATGCCCGTGTCGAGACAAGATGACGGGACGGGCGTGCGACCGTTGCCAGGTTGGGACCAGGTTCGCTCTCGCACTTTCCGAGTCCGCCGTTTCAGAGTAACGGCAAGCTTCTCGCCGGGGCGCAGCCGGGCTTCTTCGCGCCGCGGGGCGGGTCCGGCTGCGTGGCCTGCGGCTGCGACCCGAGGGGATCCCCGGAGG